CAGTGCCAAGAGGTGTGTGTGACATTACTGGGGGGGGGGTGTGTGACAGTGCCAGGGGGGAAGGGGGCATGACAATGCTTGGGGGGGTGTGACAATGTTAGGAGGGTGTGACAGTGCCAGGGGTGTGTGTGACAGTGCTGGGAGGGGTGTAACAGTGCCAGAGGGAGTTGTGTGACCATCCAGGGGGTGACAGTGCCAAGAGGTGTGTGTGACAGTGCTAGGGGAAGTGTGACAGTGCCAGGGGGGTGACAGTGCCAAGAGGTGTGTGTGACAATGCAGGGGGGGTGTGGCAGTGCCAGGGGTGCCGGTACCTTCTTGACGATGCGCAGGCAGCGGCGCAGGAGGCACTTGTTGGGCCAGGCAGGGCCGGGGGGGCCCCCGGGGGAGCTGCGGGAGCAGGCGCTGCAGATGCCACAGTCCTCGGGGATGCGACAGGCCTGGCACAAGCCACAGCCCACCCGCTGGGGTGGGAGGCAGCGGGGACACAACACAAACCGCCAAGGGATCAGGGGAGGCACAACACAATCTCCCAGAGCCCTTGATGGACTGGGGGGGGGGGGGGAAACAGCACCCCAAACCTCTGAGGGACCAGGAACACCCCCTTAAAACCCCTCAAGGGATCCCAGGGGACACCCTCCCTCCACAGGATATGGGGGGCACAATATCCCCCCAAACCCCCAAGGGACCAGGGGAACACCCCCAAACCCCCTGAATGGGGTGAATAACACTCCCCACTCCAAACTCTCTGAGGGATCCAGGGGGGCAACACAACCCCCAGACCCCTGGGGAGCCACAGGGTCACAAGAGCCCCCCCCAAACTCGAGGGACCAGGGGCAAGCCCCAAAAATCCCTGAAGGATGCAGGGGGGCCCAGGGGGGGTCAGGGGTACCTTGTAGAACCGCTGCTCTCGGTTGAAGTCTCGTCTCTGGGCTGGGGGAGAGAGGGGAGGGGGTGGTCAGAGTCACCCCAACTTACCTGGGACTCCCCTCCGTGGCACCCTGACCCCCCTCCCCAACTGCCCTGGGGCTGCCTAGGCCCCTCTAGGCCCCTCGACCCCTCCCCCCCCTCCAAAATTCTTTTCCAGAAGGGCCCAAAACAGGGGAAAAAGCTCTGAGAAAAACGAGAGGGATGATGAGAAAGGTTCTGATGAGGACGATGGTGAAGAGGGCTCTGAGGTTGGGAAAGAGGACAGGAGGAAGGCACAGGAAGAGCATGATGAGAAGAAACAAGAAGACTCCAGGTGGCAGGAGGAGGAAGATGAGAAAGAGAGTGGGATGAAGGCTCTGGGTAGCAGAAGGAGGATGTGGAAGATGAGAAGGTGAGTGGTGTGAAGGCTCTGGGGGGCAGGAGGATGAGGAAGATGATGAGCAGGGTGGGATAATGGCTCTGGGGGCAGGAGAAGGATGAGGAGGACGAGGAGGAAGGCTCCAGGATGCAGCAGGAGGATGAGGTGGGCACCGGGGCTGAACTCACCACGGCAGTCAGGGCAGAGCCAGCGGCAGCGGCGCTGGGGAGGCAGAGACACCCCTGGGAAGAGGCTCTGGCAGCTGGCACAGAGACTGGGGGAGAGAGGGAGGGTGTTGAGGGGGGCTGGGGAACCCCAACACCCCCCTAGGGACCTCCCTCTGATCCCAAACCTCCCCAGGGATCTTCCTGGACCCCAACCCTACCCCCAGAGACCCCCCCCGGCCCCCAAACATCGCAGGGACCCCCTCCCTTCCCCTCACCCTACCCCCTCCTCTGGGACCCCCCTCCCTGTCCCCAAACCCCCCCAAAAGAGGGAATCAGGACCCCCCACCCTTGCCCCACTCACGCCACAGTCCCGTCCTGGGGGGGTTCTGAGGGGGGTCGTTTGCGGGTCCTGCGCACGAGGGGGGGCTCTGGTTGGGGCGGGGCCTCGGCGGGTGGGGGCGGGGCCACAGCAATCAGGGGCGTGGGCTCAACGGGAGGAGGCGTGGCCACTGCGGGAGGGGGCGGGGCCTGTGCCTGCAGGGGTGGGGCCTCCTTGGCCTCAGCCCCATTCCCCTCCTCCCCCTCCTCACGGGGGGTCTCTGGGGGGTCCAGGGGGGGCCCCATGGGAAGGTGCCATTTGGGGCCTTTCCTGGTCTGAGAAGAAAACAGAGAGGTGAAACATTCCGGGCACCCCCCCCCATATTGTGACTCCCCTCTGCCCCCACCCCTAACCAGGAGCCCCCCCGTCTTCCTCATACTGAGGAGCCCCTTTTGTTTTCCCCCTTTATTTTCCCCTTACATTTTTTCCCACCCCCAAACCCCCAGTCCAAACCCTGTAAATAACCTCCATCATTTTCTAGAACACTCCTCCCCTAGAATTTTAGGGTGACCCACCCCCTCCCCCCACTGCTCCAGGGGAGCTTTGGGTTTCCCTCCCCGGGGTTTTCTGGGGTCCCCTGGGTTCCGAGCTCCCTCCCCAGGGTTTTGGGGTCCCTACCCGGGGGGTCCCAGAGCGCTGCAGCCCCGATTTGAAGTCGAAGTTGCTCAGGTCGTGGCCGGGGCCCAGGAACCGCCTCAGCTCGATCTTACTGCGGAACTTCTGCCCTGTGGGGCTGCCGGGGGGGCCGTCAGGGCCAACCCAAAGCGCCCCCAAACCCGGGGGGAGACCCCAAAACCCAGGGGAGGGGATCAATGACCCAGGGAAACAGTGGGAAGGAGCAGCAGGAACAAGGAGG